ACTCCCTGATGTTAAGAGGTAGTTAATTCCATGAGCGACAAACCCGTATAAAGTATGAGTTCTTAAAAGTTTCTGTGCGACTAAACGGGACATTGAGTGTTAGATAATCAATCTTTCTCAAAGGCTTGTTGCAAGTTCGAGACGATACAAAGTCCAAAATATCTAAATTTTACATATTCTCAAAACACTTTAAAAAGAATACTAAATCATGAATTTCCCTTCGATATTGTAAAGGTAATAAATTTAATTTACTCAGGCGTTCGTGCTCAGAATACTCCCTGCCGAGAATGAATACTTCACGTAGCCCTGCGCTGAATTTGTTGTAAGCTGGTAATATTTCTTTTGGTATAAGGCGACCATACCACACTGGCATATTCCAGACGTGACCGCACCCAAGTAATGTAAAGTAACTTTTTATTTCTAATATCAGTCACCTCCTTACATGTCCTATGGAGCAAATTAAGCATCTTTTGAGCTCTGGACAAGATAATTTCAACGTGATGATTCCAGCTTAAATCGTGGCTGATCCAAATACCCAGATCTTTTTCAACAGCAACACACTCCAACTTGGTTCCTCCAAGAAAATAATCCCTCTCATAAATACATTTAGTATTTATGAGAGGGATGTACAGATCTTCACGGATGAAGGTGCTGTGGAGGAGGATAAAGAAATCAGTGAGGATGAAAGGACAGTAACATTGGTCAAACAAATAGGAAATGACATCCATCCTTCGAGTAAGCTTGAATTAGACTTTCCATCAAAGCACCGAGATAGAAAGTTACTGATCCTTGACTTAAAGGTTTGGATGAAGACGAGAGAGAAGGCAACATAGGGACAAGTTAAGAAGGTGTCAACAATCCTGTCTGACTTTTACTCCAAGAGTTTTGTCTCAAAAGCGGTTATAAATGCTGTATCTGATTTACCCTGGAGTACCAAACGAACGGTGCTAACTGAAGAAGTCCTAAGTCTACTAATAAATTGTAGCAGATTATTACCCTAGGAGAGGGTAGTAGAGAAGGTTGATGAGGCTGTGATACGGATGAAATATTTAGGATACAGCAAGAAATCCAGATACCAGGGTGTAGACTCTGCCCTCAAGGTATGAAAAGCAAAACAGGAGAACGGCTATTACACAGACCGGCCCCAAGGAGTGGTGGAAGAAAGAGCGAGAAAAGGAAAAGGCGAAGAAGAAAAACGACTAGTGCAAAAGATCGAGCTGGGGACGAGTCACTCATCTTTGAACCGGCCACACCAGGATCCCAACTACAAAGCAAATACCAACAAGAGGTTAATCAGCGAGGTTTAAAGGTTAAAGTTGTTGCGAAAGCTGGGTAAATCTAAAAAGGTTGTTGCAAAGTTCTGATTCATTCAAACCAAGCTAATGTGAAAGGGAGAACTGTCAGGTTTGTAAGGCGGAAGTGAGAGGACGGTATGATAGGCATGGTGCGACACACGAAATTAAATGCACCGAATGCTGAACAAGCTGATGGAAACGAGCTCGTGTTGAGATATGAATTCCAGCTTTCAAGTCTTGCAGGGAAGCTGGGTCTCAGCATGGTAGACCTCCAATGGGACAACATACTTTGAAAGTTTCAATTCCTCTTCACTCTTATCCCTTCCTCTTTTTATTCTCGAAGATGGTCCTGGTCGGATGTAAGAACCCTCCAGAATTACTTGACTTTGGCTTCCCAGGAACGTTAATGACGAATGAAATGCCACATTTTCAAGACATTTTCTAGACGATCCAAGGTTGTTAAGTCAAGCATCGAATCAACACATCGTCCCTTGCTCTGATGGGTTGGTCTTTGATTTTGTAGAGTAGACGGCGGCGTTAATGAACATTCTGATTGACCATTTATCATTGGCCTTTTTTCTAGTGCAGATACTCCAGCCAGTCTTCTTGCTCTTTTTACATAAAAGCTTCCATATCGGCGTTGTTGGTGATTCAGGAAGGGGACACCAAATAGGAATCCAAACTGGGAGAGAGAGTAACGCAATTCTTCGATTTGTTCGTTCTTCAGGTTAAATCCTATGGCCACATTGATTTTACAGACGCTTCGTATTTGGCGAAAAATAAAACTCACTGTTTCATCCTCATCGATATCTGCTCCGTGATTTTGTAGACGGACGTTATAACTGTCCATGATGGTCCCCTCGACTCGATGACATGCCAGTGCGAATGTAATTGCACCAGAATGTATAAAAACGTGCTGTTTACTGGCACCCATATCACTACTCACATATATTTACACAGCCTGCACATCATTAAACTGATTCTATGATGCTCGTCTCATTATCTCAAGATTGCTGAATTGTTTAATCAGCAAGTGCTCTAATAATCTCAATTATACTACTAACATGTCAATTCTCTGCCCACGCCAGTTCACTATGCCAGAGCAATGTCCTGACTGCCGGTCGACCACAATTTCGCCCGTTTTAACGAATTATTCGTTTTTTGGAGCGACTTTGCATTATGGATTGGAAAGTCATATGACTCCTAACCAACCAGACATATGCCATTTGCAGATTGAGAGCTTATTTTAAAATGACGAAGGGAGGAATTCCTCCACTCTCAAGGTCTCTAATACCATGGTGGTGGCTCGAGCATGCCTACACTTAGAGGGGTTGGCGATTGGCAAGTATATACGGGCATTCATACAACGTAGTGCTAAATAGAGGCGAGAAATTTTCTTTGAAAAAAAACGTGAATCTTCTTCAACATGCACTTAGTTTTAAATTTCGTGTACTACAGTTATCTACTAACACAAGCTTATTAGAGAACAAAACATGTGAGAACGAAATAAAATCAACTGACAGATGAACTCTGACGATTAACTCCCGTAAAAAATATATCACTTTTGCAATTCTCCTGTCTTTTATCATTCTGAAAAGGACAATAGAATGTCGGTATCATATTAGCACCAGTACTTTTCCAACTACAATTGGAATACATAGTATTTTCATTTGATTAAAAAAAATACGAATACGTCACATTCGAGAATTTTGGACTCTGTGGCCAATGAAGGAATCTAAGCTAAATGTCTTCAGCTTTGTCCGGAGCAAAAATCTGTCGCAAAGATATCACATAGATGTAATTAGAGGCAACTCAAAGAACAATGGTATTAAACATCAGTTATGGGCATGTCTTACTAATTAACAATTAGATTATGAGCTCGAGATTTCTATGAGATGATAGTTGATGAGGCCAAAAACTATCGCCTTATAGAAATCGACAGCGAATAGTCTAATTGTTTTAGTAGAATTCTAACTTAAAGTAACGCAAATAATGGTTTTCAAATATATTTCGACGCATTATTGAACTTTACGCTTTAACAAAATCGCACGTATTGAATTGTCCTTGGTAAATTTGCAGCTGTTTACGCGCGCGCACCGGTTTTTCAATGATTTCAAGTTTGTAAAGTCTAGAATCCGTTTATAGCGGAGTTCCATACTCATATAGGAAGGAAAAGGAAACCCATGAGTTGATTTTCTCATGATTATCGTGGCTCGCGGTATTGCTAGTGGGCGCGTACGCACGACGAGGACGACGGCGGCGGCGGCGGCGGCGGAGTTGCCCAACATGGCGGCCATACTCCAAATAATAGGTTGGCAGAGACATGCAGCCTTGGTTTACCGTGTACTTCCTTGATATGGGAAATCCATGTTATGATCAATTGACACCTGTCAAATCAAGGTATCTGCTGACCAGTATCGCGTAACCATATCGCGGGCTCAAGTTTACAGCTCCTCGAGGTCACGTGTTTTTTGAAGTCGACCGCTGACCAAATGCTGCGATTGGATCGCGGGCTCATATTGGGTTAGCTTGTTGGAAACAGGGCAGGATTGTTCTGAAGCCGGTTTGTGCTAACCCAGGATTAAAGTTTATCGAATTGTAACTTTTTCTTCTACACAAATGTTTTTTGCTGTTTTGTTTTGTGTATATGGTGATTATTAAAACTCAAAACAGAAGGCCAAACAATATACAGAAACCCCACCGCAAAGTTACAAAACTCAAATCAAAATTCTACCTTTTTCTGGGTTAGCTGAATCGGGCTTTGAACAACCCGGCCCAGAAGCTACGCTTTTAGCCTGGCCTAAATCTATATATTATCCTTCTTTTAGTCTTCCCAGGAATTTAATTATCCATTTACATCTAAACTTTCTTCCAAAACTTCAGAAAAATGTTAAAAAAGTCGCATTTCATGGACGGCCGACAGCTACCGCATTCTAATGGCTGATAGTATACGAGTAACTCAGTCAATCAGATTGCAGCATTTGCATTAGTATACTAGTAGAATTCTACTAATATGGGGTAGTATTTATATCTAATTGTTCCTTTTAAGGTGATTCCTTAGTATTGCACTGCGCATCCCTACCGCGCACGATTTTCGCGTCATTAGCGGGCGCACATGAGCGCGTGCACGTAAGAGATTTCCCCTGAGACTAGGCTCGATGGCGAAATAAATGCTCCTTTCTTCATAAAGGAGCACGGTGATCCCCACTTTTCATTGCATAATTTCAATGAGAACAGTATCCTCAATAACTGAGAATAAAATTAGCAGAAATCTATGGCGGCTACTTTTTTGGCAAATGAAATAAATACTACAGAGGGAGACATAACGGGCCCAACAGCGCATGTCCAAATTATGTTTCGTTTAAAGGATAAAAAATGCAGGGTACTTGAAGACATTTTTTCTGGGACTTACATAAATAAAAAATCAAAGAAAGCCAAACTCTGTGTGATATACACGCTGCATTGAAAAATAATCGAGCTTATTTGTTGCGCACGGAGATTACCAAAAGTCACCTAAATAACCGTATTTGTCAGCATCGTGGCGTGAAAACAAGCGCGATGACCCCCTCTTTTTATTACGTTTTTAATATCTCCTTGTCCTGTAGCAACAGCATACCAAGTTTCATCGGAAATCTATGGCGGGCTCTTTTACTAGGGAATCACCTTAAACATGAGTCAATTGTTAAAACAAACATACATTTGAGCTCTCAAACACTGTTTAACAATTAAATTAATAATTAAGTTTAATAATTACTTTAACTCTTGCCAACTCATCTCAACTCCAGAGTAGAGTTTTACTAAAGACACTACCTGGCAGTAGTCCAGTGCAACGTTTGGTGTTGGATTGCTTGTCGGTGTAAAGTCGAATCCTTTTCTTCCATGAAAGATCCACGAGTAACGATGGCTTTTGGTGGCCCTATGGAACCATACTACAATTCTCTTACACTTGACTGTCACGGTTTGTCTGACTCTGGTGCTGACAAGTCGCAGGAAGTTAAACTGAATTTTACTGGCTAGGTAACTGATCTAAAAATAAAGAAATAAGTTTCATTAATCCATTTCACTCAATAAGTTTCATTTTGGTTAGTTTGTGTATTTGTACCGGTCTCAGTTTCATTTTTGGTAGTCTGTACAGTTGGATTTGTACTGCTACATCACATTACCTTAAAACCTTGTTCAAGATTTGAAAATCTTTCCCATGTTGCTTCTGGGCCACTTTTCCAGGTCCTTTTAGGGATCTGTTGATTTAAAAAAAAAATGCTTTTTCTGTGTATCGAAATGACGTTGTCCTACAATTGGCGTGTCAATGTATTGACAAACAATCAAGATATCGTATTTAACTGTCCACAGAAACTCTCAACAATATCACTGGCGGTCCTAAAGTTGTAAATAATGTCAGGCGGAATAAAGCACACGAATGGGCCAAACGCAACGCAAAGCAATAACCAAACGTGCTTACTTTATCCCGAAGAGGAGGAACACAGGATTCTCCACCAGCTGTAAAGTTGCAGTACACTTTAATGGCATCAGCAGGGCAACCAAGGTTTGGATCAATCCAGTAATAACCTGTAATAAACACGATCAAGCATCCATAAGTACCAACTAAGATTTTCCAACAGCTATTACAGTGAACAATTCTCATAACATACACACGCGATGAAGCTAGTTTCTCACCATCCCGAATGTCGTCAATGTCCATGAGTTCTTTACAAGTCATAGCTGGATTGTCCCTGGTGCCTAAAGGAAATTTGTAGTTCTCCACCGTTGAAGACATGTACAGTAGCGTCTTGAGATTTTGTACCGACTGATAAAAATGGACATAAAGTGGAATTAAATGAAAATAAAAGAGAAAATGAAAAGCAGGAGGGAGAAAGAGAAAAGAAAAACAAGCTAATTGCAGGTTATACAGAGACACAGAAAATACACCATACACGGATACGCACAAACAAGTGTACAAACTCTGTGACGTACAGATTTGAAAGCTTAACCAGTTACCTGATCCAGGTAATTATGATGACCAAGCCTGTGAAGTCCGATCACCTGGCCAGGGGGACCCTAGAGTATAATAACATGGAGCAAGCATATCATCAGCATTATTATGCCCACCATCAATAAGTCCTCATGACAAAAAAAGCGTGATTGCTCACTTAACTCTAGTTAAACTACACTTTATTTCGAGTTCGTGGGATAGTGTAACTTTAGAAGTATTTGAAATATAGCAAAGAATTTTGTATGGTATGGCAAACAACCTCAAAATTTTAGTTTGAAAAGCCTTTTAAAGCCAAGCCACGTAATAAAACATTTACACGCAGAAGGCTCCAGATAAAAATTGCTTGTTTTAGGTGACAACTCTTAAATCAACGCGGGCAAATTCTACCCACTCGACGATTTTTTTAACCGGGTAGTGAAGTCAGCACAACTTACCGGTGGTCCACTTGCACCCTACAAATCAAATATGGAAACGTTATTTCAAGGCAGGCCCTTCACTGAGTTGATTAATGTTAGTTGTATGGCTATTTGAATACCAGTCGAGTTAATTGGAGAGGCCGAACTGTAAGCACGAGGTCTGGCTACTTTCAAATTCTATTTCACGTGCTGTCATACAAAATCGAAAACAACTTAAAGGTACTCAGTCAGTGACAAAAAGAGATGTACTTACGGAGATTCCTTTCAGCCCCTAAAGAAAAAAAAAAGAAAGAAACAGAAACAAACGATTAAGATTTTGCAACCCATTTCAAACTGGAATGAACAAAATTGTGGAAAAAATGTCAGTCTTACCTTCTGACCTGCAGCTCCCTAGAAAATATTAAAAAAAACACAGGCAAACAAAAGTAGGTAAGTTACTTTGTCTCTCTCTTATCCGGAAATGGAACAAACAACATATAGAGTAAATTGTTGTCATCAAGGGATTTTTCTTGCTAAATTATAATAAGAAAAAGACATCCACAGTAAAGGGGAACCTCTTACCGGTACGCCTCTGCCTCCCTATGACAGAAAGAAATAAAAGTAAGATTAACAAACACAATAAATTTGTCAGCTGTTTTCCAAGGAAACCACAACTGAATATTACGTCCCATGACTCACATTACCAATAAGCAACTGATCTGAATATATTAGAGCGGTTTTCAATTGAGTGTCGTAAAACCAAAACCAAACCAATTACATACCAATTAAACAACTCAGTCAATCTCAAACCGTAGTAAAACCAAAACCAAAACCAAAACCAAAGTAATTGTCTAATTACTTTCGACACTCAAATGAAAACCGCTCTATTT